TATTGGACGCCAACAAATAAATGACCACTCTTTTCCTATAATTCGTAACTCGGGGCAAAAATTGGTGTGGTTGAGATTCCCGTCCATCATTTCGGAAAGAAGAAAGTCACGTAGAACGCTGTGATCTGATTCACCCAACTATCTGACAATAACCCTTGGTTATTCTAATTCCAAACCACAGAGTCCAGGCTTGGGCAAACAAACCACAAACAGCACATGTACTGGGATGATATCTGAAAATTCTGTATCTATGATTTAATCTTCCTTTATTATATAAAATTCTTTTTAAAATGAAATTAAAATTCTTCAGCATGCTTCAGCTGCTTATCACTTTCTTAACAATGTTAAGCCCGACAAGCCACATTTTACATTTATTTTATTTCACATATAACTTTCATTTCTCCAGGTTGATAATTCTCTTCCAAAATATTTTTAACTGTTTATTACAGACAATTTCTCTTTTTCTATTTCAACATCTTGCAAGTATCACTGATCACACACACACACATTATATATATATATACATATATATATATAAAGGCAAATTTTATACAAACCCATATATTACCAAATTGCAGCCATGTGTGACCGACGATATGAATACAAGTACTCTAGGTTGAATAACAGTTTTAGAATTATCTCAGACACCTAATTCAATATTAAACTTGAGTTAACAAATATGTCTGTATTGAAACCAAAAGCTTAGACCTTGGAAGCACAAAAACATTGACACAGGTCTCATGTGGTAACCCTAAAGACATCAAGTGAAGGTGATCTTGTCTACTGACTCCACAATGTTGTGTACTGTACAACAATTATACACACCATATATGATAAAAGGCATATATAGCCCCCTAAAAAGCCATATTCCCAGTGGTATGCTTATAGTAACAACTCCTTTGACACCTTGTTTTAAATTGTTGTAGATATATACTTGAAGTAAAAAAAGCCACAAAACCTTTCCATATCCAATAGATCATAAAGCAGAGTCGATTGTACGATTCTGACTATATCATGACCATGTGTTTATGAACTACTATCAAATAGTAATACTGGAATAAAAGAAATGAAGAATATTGATTATGTCCTTTAATGTAATTACAAACAATCACATTTAGGCCAATAATACTCTTGTTTCTTATTTTATAATGGATAATGATAGACCTTCTGTTTCATAAGAACGCAGATGTCCCAATGTCTGAGAAATGTGTATAGAGTTACCTGCCCTTGGGTTCCAAATACTTGGGTGGGGACTAAGGAAACAAGATGCGATGAAATTGGGTTTAACATTGCGTTCTAAGATTATTGCACTTATATAGCGTGCATATATGGCTGTGTAGCCTAGACTGATGTCGGCTTATAGTGCTAGCCCCCTGAGATATCAAACTTAGTTGAAACATAGATACCCAACTCAGACATAATACACTGACTCCAAGACTACAAGTCAATGTTTTATCCCCATAATGACAGGCGCCAGGCTAGGTAACAACAAGTACCATCTTCTGGCGTCTTATTGTGTGATGGAGGCTGGGGATCGAACCAGTAACCTTCCGCTAGATGTAGATCCACAAGACCACCAAGGCAGTCAACTTGGGGAACTAGCCCCGTCAAGCAGTTGTAAATGATCAGTCAGAAAGAGACACAAACGTTACTCCTTAGTCTACCAAGTTGTTACTGTTTAAAGTGCTTGGTAAAGACTGCAGCCTACAGTCCACATAAGACGTTTATTCTTCATCTATGTCCTCCAGTCTGCATACTGGACAATCATGATAATAAATAACCAAGTACCCTGAATTTAATATAAGTTTGAAATGTGAACACCTGTCCTCCTTTCCTAATTTGGCATGAAGCTATATTTTATTTGCCCCAAATGTTGCTGACAAGTGGAACTGAACATCCCCATGACTTTGGACATATGATTGACAAGCCAGGTTCCCCTGTCAACACATTGCTATTGTGTTATGACAAGAGCAGCAAATTATCCATAACAACTAAATATTATGTACTTGAATAGTGACCCCATAATGAATATATCGGACAATTATTCAAAATAGACAACTGGTCGATTTGGTAACCTAATTAGTTCAGCTTTACACAGCATCATATATATATACACACGTTTTACTTTGTTGAAATGCATGTCATACTAAAAAGCAAATATTTGAATGATAATGTCAACGAAACTGATATCAAGGAAGGAAACGAGATGAGTCTTTAAGGAAATATTATATGATTCCGAAAATAGACAATATCATTAATAAATTTAAAGCGTTCATCCTTAAAATAAGTCAAATAAAAATTTAATGGCACATTTTCAACTATAAAGGTATTTATTCAACCAATTTCAGGTGATATAAACATTAAGTTGTTGTTTTTTCATAAAACATGGAATGTTATATACTTTACTTTTCTGTAGTAACAGTTATCCTAATATCTTTTAAATCACTTTACTACAAAGGTGCTTGTGGGTGTCCAACTGGTATGTACAATCACTGACATCAATTATTAAATAACATGATTAGGTAATCACATTTTCAAAAAATATTTCCTTTTAAGATTGATTTTGATTTCAAGTATTTATTGAATTTCAGAGAAGAAAGGTAGAGGACACAAGTTCAAGACTTAACAGCCTATTATTGTAACATGCATTCTTAATACAAATTTGGATTCTTTACAAAACAAAGTCAGGTTATTATTTATCTCAAACACAAGTTAAGTTGACTTAGTATAGACTACTTCTTATCTGTATTGAAACCAATTAAAACAAGTTTCATGTTAAAAGAAACACAAGAACACAAATTTCATGATAAAATTATACATATTAAAATATTTTCAGAATAGTCACAATCACAAGTTTAGAAAATCGATAACAACTTTTTGTGCTCAAATGAATCAAACATTCTCATATTCTGAAGTCAAGTACTGTACTCATGGTAATAACGCCCAGGGCGCTCTCAAAATTAGAAATAGGGGGCTCTTATTAGAATATCACTTTGGTGAAAAAAACAGAGTTGAAAGATAAATTTCATGGTTTATGCTGACAGCCTGAAATGTTTATATACGACAGATATATTTTTCCACAATTTAATTGCCCATAATTGAGGGTGCATATTACACACGAATAAATTGGTCTTGTGTACATTGATCAATCGGAAGGGGTGCTAACTGGGATTGTTCACTAGCCAATATATTAGCAAATATCGCTGTGGGCGCTTATTAGAGCGGGGCGCTTATTACGTCGAATACAGTATCCTACTCCACTTTTGATAGGGATATTTCTATCCTTCCATGATACACAAGACTGATTCCCATATTCCAAGCGTATATTTAAATAGAATGACATATCCGATTATCCCTATCAAATTTTGAGTAGCATATATACATGATGAACTTAACTCAATAAAACTGCCATTATCAGGAATTAAGAATTAACTTGAGTTGTAATTTTAGAAGAGTATTTATTCAGGACTAGAAAGTCACTGTAAATCCAAACACGACAAAATTATTTCCAATTTTGTCATCCGTTATGCAGATAGTATGACATTTTGTGTTGCCGTTCCCTATCATTCAGCCATGTACCTGATTGCCCCAAGCTGAGCCCTTATCACAGAATCTTTATGGTCGAGTAAAATATTTATTCATTTTCATATACAACCTTTTCCCATACACAATGGAAACCATATGACAGGGGAAGGAAATTAAATCATGTGTTCGTTAGTGATATTCTAATGTCACAGGGGCAATGTAACAAGGTTTGAATATTGCCTCGATCAATTAACTGTTCCGAATGCATTTTGGGGGACAACATGCTCTTGAAAATATACAATCACATTTGTGTTGATGGAAAAGCCACAATTGTATGCAACATGGAGGATAAATTTTTAACTATCATATCGCTAAACAAAGGATGACAGCAGACTTAGCACATGTAAGTCCTTTGTTACCAATGAACCAGAAATTGAAAAAAGAATTTCAGGTAAGAAAATAATATTTTGGAATATTTGAGTATTTGAAACCAATATATGAAATCAAAAATATATATTTGTTAAAAAAAGAGGAAAGAAAGTTTTACTGTAGACATTTTTACCTCAAACAAAATAATTAAATTAAAGCCATAAATGATAAATTAAAATAAGCTGGTCAAAAACAAAATATTTCAGATCAGAGGAGTCCTACAAAATTTATCGTATGATAGATTCAACAATTGAACTTTGATTAACACGTCTTGCACATAACACAATATAATACACAGTGGATATGAAGAAAATGCTCAGGCACACTCAACGACTTCACTTTCAAGAAGTTTGTTAGAATTTACAGATTTTCTTCAAACAATTCAAATATTCAACAGCCGGTTGATCCTTCTGTGGGCTATTTGGCTTCGGGGGAGCTAAAGTCAATGTTATTGTGTTTGTTCTAGTCGGTTCGGGCCTAAACTTCCACAGTGGTGTACGCTTGGTGCAATATTCCTGTCGAGATTTTTATCTTCACAAATAAATTGTTACTAGGCAAGCCGTGAAAGTATTTTATAATTCGTTCTGTCACAAGAAGATTCAAAAGGACCCACGACATATAGGGGACCACGTATCGAATCGTGAATCTTTCATTGCAAAGTACAATCGCCTAGCAAAGCTTTCCACTGTTTGTTTTGGTACAATTATCACCGAAGTGCTACCCCTCGATCAAGCAGTGGCGACATGAAGTCTGCACCCTGCAAACACACATCCAACACCCTTTTCTCCTTCCTTTCACCCGCAGTTTCAAATATATGAACTTAAATCTGTTGGAAAATATCACAATTACAACTAGAAAAAGTAGTTTCTCGGTATAAACAACGGAATCCCGAGACGACCAACACAGAAATTGTTCTCTCGTAGCACAACACTGGAAAGCTCGTGAGATTTAGCGTTTCACATGACGAGTCGAGCAGTGATATGCAAGCACACAATACATATAGTTGTAATCTGCACAGACAACAAAAATTAGACAAATATACATACCCAGTTCGATGGAAACCGCCGTTACACCTAACCACAGCCACGAGCCGAGCGACATCATGCCGCCATTAAAGTGTCCTCTCGTGAATTCATAGCCTGGCCTGACCTCATGAATATGAACGAGGCATGAATATTCATTAGCCGCTTGGCCCAGGGTTTCGTTCTTCACAAAATACCGCGAAATTGCCGGATGTTGATTCAATCGATTACATTGACCACCGAATTTTGTTCATATGCATCGCGTAAATGCCTGAATTAAGTCTGAATAGAATTATTACAGAATTTTTTTGTATAAATACGAACGGAAATCTTTGACCGGAGGCAATTGAATAGTTGAAAAAGTAAACCTGTCTTTAGGTTATCATCCCTTAATGTCCCTCGAAATCTCATAATCGATTTATTAATATATAATAGCCTTTTGATAAAAAGTGCAGGATGTACATTGATTCTGAATATAGTATGGGGAATAGAATAACCAACAGGTGTTCTGAAAACACATCTACAAAACATCTTCGACACGAGGAATGTGCGCATAGCGTCATTCTTCTCACAGCTTTATAGTTTTTTGTTTACTTGTCATTTTTGAACATTTGAGAGGTGACCAAGATTATCACCCGTGACAAATATGAATATGAGATGCTCCCGTTTGGAATTCAATGCCTGCATGTGCATGCATGGAGTGAATGCATGCACTCCATTAAGAGTTGACTATATGCGAAAGAATCATTCGCATATTGGTTGTGTTCAAAGATGTGATTAAAAAACAATCAAGACAAAACACAAAACAGACTTGGAGACTTACATCTTGAACATATGCAACGTTTGCTGTAGCATTCGTGACACAATAGACAGGAAGGATAATCTAGTTCAACATAAAGACAAAACTGTCGGTGGGAAGTTTGATATTTAAAAATTGTCATAGAAAATGTAAATTATGCTGATGTGTATATGGTATAAATTGTTTTTTTAATTACATTTTCAAAATTAAAATTTAAAATTAAAATTGAAAATTAAAATTCTGCGTGTAGCAATCATTGTTTTCTTAAAACAGAGGTTTGATTGATATGTGGTCATATTGTCCTTTTCAAAATTATTATTAATCTCCAGTTATCAATACATTTATATGATCACAGTAACGTGGCTTTGACTACATTATTGGTACAGAATAAAATATTCACGATCCTTTGAAACCAAAACCTACAAAGTTTACAAGCAGGGTATAATTCAGATACCCGTTTGAAGTTTCGATGTAATGGTCGAGTTTAAAGTACATGCACTAGTATAACATCATAAAGACGTGACCGTTTATGGGTTAATGATTTTAAATGTCTCAAGGATCAAATATACATCACTGCCATCAAATGTCTTTAATTCATCTGCTTCGTGTACACGCACAAAGGTATTTCTAGTTATATATGTAAGATATATTGCGAGGCTCAATTTGTCATAATGAACACGATTGTCATGATAGATGTGAGTGATTGAAATAGTGACATTTATTTGTTTTGTTTATTTGCTAAAAGACAATATCGTAATTTGAGAATTGTTTTTAATTTTATTTTGTGAGATACGTCGCCGGGGTGTTCTACGGTGAAATGTAAACACGAATGATATGACTCACCCGGTGTCAAACACTGGGCTGAGCTGCTTCTGTGGATATAGGTGTATGGCATATATGCAGAAGAAATTCAGGTCAAACTGCGAACCTTTTGTGCTGCATTATATAGCGCCCGCGGGAGATGTTAATCTACATTTTTTATCATCATCATAGTCGTCGTCGTCGTCGTCATCATCATCATCATCACGCAAGTTTAAGTTGAAGTAGTATACGAGGATGTCACAACCACCACCACCCTCATCATCATCATCATCATCATCATCATCATCATCATCACCAAGAATGAAGACTGAAATATTTCAATTTCTCTTCGATTCTTTGCTAACTGATGCGCAAGAACTAAATCTGTAACATATTCACCCATTATTGCGACAAAAGATTCAGTTATTGGGCGATGCAAGAGGGCATTCGGATGACAGAACAGGTTCACACAGAAGCGGAGACAGCGCGAGTCTGTATGGCCGGAGTAGGATCAGTGTGGTGTTAAGGTGTTCATAATTATCCTTCGACCTCCTTTGCAAGTCCAGAAACATTGTCCTGCAACATGTAAGCTCAATCTCTGCACTTGTAATTACTGCTCTGGTTACCTAATTATAATAAAAATAAAAATTACTACTACTACTACTACTACTACTACTACTAGTAGTAGTAGTAGTAGTAGTAGTAGTAGTAGTAGTACTTCTACTACTAATAATAAGTGCATTAGTCGATGCTCATACCACTATATACTGTCATTACCCCGGTCAATGGATCAGTGTGCGCTCGATTTTCATTCTCACCCCCCTGGGGAGTATACAACCTAAGCTGCCTGTGAGACGCTAGAAGTTTAACAGCCACATTACTATCTCATCCTACCGGGTACCCACTCACTGCTGGATAAAAGAGATATACTTATACCATGTATTTCAATTTGTCTAGAAACGATGTTATTAACAAAAAATACTGTTCTACTAGTTAATGCTTTTCGACTCGAACTGAGGATTTTATACTACAATACTGTTTCATATAAACTGCCGGGCAAAAGAAAGTATACCAATAAAATTTTAATTTGACTTAATATTACAGGCTGACAACAGTCGTCGGAACACTGTTTAAGGTCCTATGATATCCGCATCAAATACATCACCATCGAATAACCATTTCTTGTTTGTTTCATTTTTAGTCCAATCTCATTAAAATCAGATCTTAGTTCTCGCTACCACTAAACAAAGATCTGAGGACATCCCATTACGGGTCACGTCAGACTGACCTTGCGCAAACTTTGACCGACCAATGGAATGACCAATTAGAAGGCAGCTTCCTCGTGCTTTACGGCACTAATTTCAAATAAGCGACTACGCCTCGAAACATACTTTGACAAATTCTCAATTACAGATTTGAAACCTGAACAAAAGACCACTCTGGAATGGCTAATAGATGGTCTAGATTGTATGGTTTCAGTCGTTAAACCTTTAACTATCGTTCGGTATACCCCGTGTTAAAGTTTTCGAGGTTGCATGATTAGAAATCACATTCCGACTGTCACTTTCATAATCTGGTAAGCGATGCTCTGATTGGTCGGATGAAAGGTCGTTCTGACGTGACCCCTAATGGGATGTCCTCAGATCTTTGTTTAGCGGTAGCGAGAACTGAGGTCTGATTTTAATGAGATTTATTTTTAGTCACAATTAAACATGGGTGTATACTTTCAATTTTTATGAAATTTGGATATTGCCGGTATGACGTACAATTTAATTTCACCCACTTTAGCAATGTAAACAGTTCATTTGCTGATGTTTAAATGCAATTCCCCCGAATGTGCTGAAATTTACAAAATTCATAATGGACAAAAGTAAATAACACCCATCTTCTTACACAACATCAGTGCTTTTGTCCAGCATGCAACCTTGAATGCTGTTTATGATGCAAATATCCGACGATATGAACTACTTGTTAAATACGTTATATTGTTTATTCATGATAAAATTTCATCATTATCAAATCGATCTCAATGGCGTTATGGCGTCCATGCATGGAATCTATATGGAACAATGCTGTTTGTTGTTGAACGCCGCAATATTCCAGCTTGCGAGAGCGGTCTGTTTATACTCGAGTTTGGGCCAGTGATCGATATTATGAACAACGATCCACGCCGTCGGGGTACGATGACACGCAATTAACCAATTCGGCCTGACAACCCGGGTCATTAAGTCGCCCTTTACGATCAGCGTAATGTCCACACGATGTCACATTGCTAAATGAGTGAGTGAGTATGGTTTTACGCCGCTTTTAGCAATATTCCAGCAATATCACGGCGGGGGACACCAGAAATGGGCTTCACACATTGTACCCATGTCGGGAATCGAACCCAGGTGTTTGGCGTGACGAGCGAACGCCTTAACCATTAGGCTACCCGACCGCCCCTCACAATTCTAAGGCGCTCTTCGCGAACAATAGAAACCTTGGAACAATTAGAAGAATTAGCCAATCAGTATTATGCAAAATCATAATGCTCAGTGATAATTACAGTAAATAACCTCATTTACAAGTGACCCGTGAAGATTCCGGGGTAGAATAGGTCTTTAGCAACCCATTCTCGCCGTAAAAGGCGAGTATGCTTGTCGTAAGAGGCGACTAACAGGACCGGGTGGTCATCGTATCCCAAAATTGTGTGGATCGATGCTCATGATGTCAATCACTGGATTGTCAGGTCCTGTCTTGGTTATCTACAGACCGCCGTCATATAGCTGGAATATTGCTGAGTGCCGCGTTAGCCATATGACGTCGGTCTGTAAATAATCGAATCTTGACTAGACAATCCCGTTATTGAAGTGATGCACATCGATCCCCGCAATTGGGATCGATGACATGCATCAACCAAGTTAGCGAGCCTGACCACCCGATTCCGTTAGTCGCCTTTTACGATAAGCAGAGCCGCCTTTTACGGCAAGCATGGGTTGCTGAAGACCTATTCTAACCCGGATCTTCACAGGTTATTAGATATGCATCGTTTGCTTGCATCGTTAGCTTTACATAATGTATAAGAAGCGATGTTCATTCATATAGGCATCTAGTTGCCTGTTTATCGATCCTTCACATGAAAATATTGTTTTAACCATATTTTACGTAAGACGTATCCGCTATATATCATTCTGACACTGAGACACCACGTCAACTCTCAAATATTTTATGACTGTAAATCCGAAAAAATATTCTTAGTGTTTACATATACATTTTATATCCACTAATAAGGCTATGCAGCTGCAAGTTAGCTGAGTTTCTCAAAATATATGTTTATCCTGCTTTTTTTAAAACCATTATGTATATATTGTATGTGTAGCATTTCGAGTACAACCAACGAGCTACGAGATTGTGGATTATCTGTTCCTAGTGAATGAATTGTGTTAATCCCGAGCTTTTGGCGAGAGACTTACAGCATTCATTCATGAGTGACAAATAATCCGTAATTCCGGGTTTCGAGTG